GTTTATTCCACCTTGTTTTCCACATTCTACGTGTTTCCTCTAGTGCAGATATTGTGGGCAGTTCTTTTTGCTGCACTGTGGAATCTGGCAAAGCGAGCTATTTGTTGAGTACATATGGAAGAGCTCTTCTGAACCAGCACATTCCTTTTTACTGGAACAGCCTTGTTGGTGTGGAGGAGCTGTGGGTGGAATAGAGCTGAAAGAAAGTTTCTGTCAGGGAAATCAGGCTGCAGGGCCTTTTAGAAACAGCTTCTGATTAGCACTGTGGCTTCTGCTGGCCCTCATACTCTGTGACTTAGGTCCTTCCTTCTTGCCCCTTCCAGCACTGTTTTAGACAGCTATCCTGGACGAATGAAACTGGGAAGTTGTGGATAAAGCACTTTAAAAAAATCGTTTGTGCTTTATATTTCAACATAGTTTTTATTTAAATTATCTCATTTGAATTATGGTTCAATAAAAAATTCTGACACTGTATTATAAAGCTTTAGCTTATTTAAATGTTAAATATTAAAGTATTATGTAAGTAAATTAAAAATAAACTGTAGGAATGACTCCTTCTCAGATTATAATTATTTATGGAGTGCTGCTAAGTTACCTCCAGGGTAACACGAAAAATATTTAAGCCCCATGGATATGTCATCATGTTGAGATGTTATGTAAGTCTGTTACTTTTGGTTTGTGCAGTGAATGAAATACTGATGCTTTCATTTTTCTGAATGTTGGTATTTTCAGTTCCAGTTGTTCAGAAAGGTTTGGTTTGTTGTTTTTTTCCCCTTTGATTGTCTTAAAAGTTGTGGTTTCAATTCACTCAGCTCAGGGAGAGAAAACATGTCTTTCACTAGTACATAGGAAATAGAGAAATTGGGCAGGAGTAAGAAGGGAGAATGGGTTTCCTGTCCTGAAAGAAGCTGCCATGTCAGAGAGGATTAGATCCTCCCTAAATAAATCAACAGAGCAGAGTGGCAGCAGAAAACTGATCTGCTGATAAGTCAAATTTATTATTGTGTAATTGTTTCCAAGGGGTGAACTGAGGTCGTGTTTGGGATGATGCAGAACTGGTTTGGCTCTCCGGTATATCATGAACTAATTGGTTTTTTTGGGTTTTTTTAGAACTGGCAAATGTTGAGGAGGATCCAAAATCTGCTGGGGTGGCTACTTTCGTGTTGCAGGAGGAGTTTGACAGGTACACTGGCTACTGGTGGAGCCCAAAGGCACAGCCAAGTAAGTGTCTGACAGGCCCCCTGTGCTGTGCTGGCCAGCGCAGTTATTTTTTCTGTTACTTGTCTTTGTGCAAGATGGGAGCCTTATCCTCTTGACTCCCTTTGAGCTATCTGCAGTTGTGGGCAAGTTACAGAGGCCTTGTGAGCACATTTGTGGGGGAAGAGACTTTCCTTCTCACAACAGTGGTAGGAGTTGTAAGAGTCTCAGAGTCTTTTGCTTAATGAAACATGAATCACTGACTTTGTTGGATTTTTCTTCATCCTTCCAGCCTACTTGTGCTCCTGAGGGAATATTGATGCCTGCAGTAACTGATAATGAGAGCTCTTCTGACCAGGAAATGTTAATTCATTTGCAGCACTGAATGGGGATAAAATTCTTCGAATTCTTTATGAAGAAAATGATGAGTCAGAGGTGGAAATTATTCATGTAACGTCACCCATGCTGGAGACAAGAAGAACAGATTCCTTCCGGTACCCCAAAACTGGTGAGACCCTGAGACTTCACATATGTCTTTCTGAGGGACACGTGTTATATTTCTGACAGCAGTGACTCCCAGCCTTCACCAAGGGGTCATTGCAGTGGTGTTGAGTTTTGAGTTGGTGTCTGAGTGGTGGAAATGTGTTTGGTGAAAGTGCTGCTGTGGAGGTGAGATCAGTCACTGGTGACTGTGCTGGTATTCCAGCCATGTGGTAACTAAGAGCTCCGAGTCTGGGTCTCTCAGGAGTTGGCAGAAACCCTATCTGATTGTCACTATTTTGGAGCTGCTGTCTTGGATCCTGGCAGATCTGAGTTGCCGAGGAGTTGATTCTCATTACAGCCCCATGTCTCTGAGGGAACAGCTGCAGAATTTTCATTTTTCAGGAAGGTTCCTGTTTAGCTGCTGGCAGTGCCCTGGTTGTTCAAGTTCCGAAGGTCTCTGGTCTCCATGTGTGCTCTTGGACTTTGAACAACAAACTCAGCACACCCACAGCCCACCAGGAAAATCTCCCATTGTTAAATTTTCAAAGACCAAATTATCTGGAAGCTTCAGCAGTAAAGGGGTGAGGGCAGGCTTGAAGCATTTTAAATGGAGAGCCATTGGAATCAGGGAAGTGGGACTTAGGGAGATGTCCTGAGGGCTGATTGACTGTCAGGTGTGTGGGGCAAGTTTGAACAGTTCAGCCCTTGCTCTTCTGAGACTTCCCTGCTGTTTCAGCAGGGCAGGTTGCTCACAGTTAATTAAGTGGTTCATTGTTTCCTCGCTCCTCAAGTCTTCATTTTTTTTGAAATTATCTTCTGTTTGGCTGCACTTCCCAAGTTGCTAAATTCATTTCAGCTCTTTCACATTGTCTGATCCACTGGCAAAAGCTGCTCCTTACAATCCTGATTTACTACTTATTTCAAGGAGCAGGAAGGGCTCCGTGTTAGCCTGGGAAGTGATGGATGACTCTGTTTTTTCACCACTTGAGTACATTCAGGTTTCTGAGAGTATTTTGTCATAGCTCTGTTCAGTGTTTAGTCTTGGCTGTTTAGGAAAACAAACCAACTATAGCCTAAATCCTTTGAAACAAACTAAAAAAAAATGTAGGTTTTAATCTCTGGGCCTCAATTTCCAGTCTGAGCTGCAGCAGCAATAGCCCTTTTCTGGGAGCTGTTGTGAGGGCAAAGCTTGAGGTGTATTGTGTTACCAGGGAGGAGACAGGCACTTAACTAGGCCAGTACTGTGGCCCAAGGCAAGTAGTTTCACCTCAGTGCATCAGTTCTTGTGCACAAACCAAGCTGATGAAGTGGGAATACTTCAGAGTATCACTAAGAATATCCAGAGTACATGGAATTACCACGTGTGGCTTTTTGTGGATCGACTGGCTTTGGCTTTATTCTTTATAGTCCATCTTCTCTTGCTGTGTAGCAGGCCCCAGCATTTAGCACTGCAGGTGCTGCACAGTAGGATGAGTTGCTGCTTTGTGTAGACTTAACTTCAGATTGTGCCACACGAATATGTAGCTTTATTATTTTAACCTCATGGACATAGGTTTTTGAGTGTGAGATGCTCCAATTTTCATAGATACTTTTTAGGACTGGGTCACTTTTTATGCATGACCTCAAGAAAATCAGCCACACAGTAAACCAAAGGTTGCTTTGCTATCCTGATCACTCCTGAGCATTTACTTCTAACTAGTATGTGCATCCTTTGACTGTGGGAGAGGAGACTGCCTGGGTCAGTAACAAGGCTTTCAGTCAGATCCACTGGATCTGCCTCATATTTGCAGTGTCTTTTTATCCCTGCCTGGTTCTGTGCTGTGTCTCACACATGCAAGTAGGCTATTCAATCAGACACTGTTCTGCTCTTTGCCCTTCCAGCTCTATGAATAACACCACAATAATCCACAGTTCAGTCTGCCCTCTTGGAAGCAAGGAATCAGTGCCTGACTGCTGCCCTCTGTTTTTATAGGTACAGCAAATCCCAAGGTCACTTTCAAGATGTCTGAAGTGACAATCAATGCAGAAGGCAGAGTAAGTTCTATGTTCTGCTTGTTTTCCAAATAAATATAATTTCTGTGCTTCTTTTTTGGTAAAATTAATTTTGCAGTTCAGGACAAATAAACTGTCTTAGTTATGATAGCTTGATGGCTTCTCTGGAGGCAGTGCACTCAGCTCATTGCTACTGTGTGTGCAGCAGTACCTCTCGAGGCTGTGCTTTCCCCCCCTACCACTGGTTTATGAACTCGGCTGCAGAGCAGAGTATTTTAGGTGTGGATGGTTAGACCATTTTATGTGACAGATCTCTTGATTGGCTCCAGATACGGAGAAAAAATGATTGAAAGGAGAATGTATCGCCTTACAAAAGCATGAACATAGGGGAAGAGATGAACTTTGCTTTCACTGTGGGATTTTTAAGCAGATGCAGAAGCTTCCATGGGCCAGTCCAAGATCTTCAAACAGTTGGGAAATTAATCTTACCAAACAGATACAGCAACAGCCATACATTGTTGGGATTCTCTTTATTCTTGAGTGACTTCAGCCATCAAGTCGCCTGTTGGGATAGCAATGCTGATGTGAGCCAGCAGAGGCAGGGAAAGCTGTGATGGCCCTTGGGGGACCACTGTGACTGTTCCAATCCCAGCAGGGACAGACTGCAAAACTGCACATCATGCATTAGAGCCACAGTGCTAACTGGATGTCATGCAGGATGTTGAACATCTACTGATGAAAACACCTTACAAAATAGCTTGGTACAAATCACCTCCTTTTCACATGGGGAAACTGAGTGTTCAAGTGACTTGTCCAAGATGAGCAGTAGAGTTGTGAGCAGCATCCAGATTTCTGAAGTCCCAGCCCTGGCTGTACTGGTAGCGTGCAGCTCTGCTGCTGTGCTGGTGTCTGGCTGCAGACAGGGTTGAATCCCCTGCCTTGCCAAGGCTGAACACTAAATTGCATTAGCTGCACAGAAGTTTTCTGTGTCCGTACTCTCATCGTGCATGAAAACTGGTTGTGGGGGTTCATCTCAGTGTCACTGAATTGCTGCTTTGTCAACAGATTGCAGATGTTGTGGATAAAGAGCTAGTTCAGCCCTTCGAGATCCTCTTTGAAGGAGTAGAGTACATTGCTAGAGCTGGGTGGACGCCAGAAGGAAAATAGTGCGTATGTTAATCCTGTCTCTGCTTTAAAGGGTTTGGGGCAATACAGTTAGAAGCAGAACATAGTGGTCTCTGTCTTCTTCACGCTTAAGCCTGCTTTCATTTTTACATTTCTCCAAAGGGAACGATTTTTCCCAAGCCAAAAGAATTCTCCTTGTGTCTTTCTCTGGTACCTGGCCCTGCTGCTTTGGTATTGGGCACTCGCAGCCTTTGGTGTCTGTGTCCTCTCAGCATCCCTGTGAGAGAGTGCAGTGCTGTTGTCCCCGTTTTACAGATGGGGAACTGCAGCCCAGAGAGGCTAAGGGACTTGCCATGGTCATACAGGAACTCTGTGGCTGAGGAGAGAAATGAGCCCAAGTCCCCCAGGCCCTAGGCTAGCACCCTAACCACTGGACCATCCTTGCTGACCAGACTTACTGATCAGAAAAACTGCTGTAAGTGCTACTTACATTTGCATGTTATTTTTAACCCTGTAGATGATGTAGTACAGTGTTTCTAACTCACCAGAAGTTTCTCCAGAATTGCACTTTTGCAGTTCTTGAATCTAAAGGTGCCTTTCACCTTTTTATTTTTTTGTCCCCAAACGTAGAAGAAACGCACAGACACATTTGCTCCATTGTCTTGCTTTTTGTAGGATTATTGTTAGAGATACATGTAAAGTCATCAGAAGTATGGCAGGGTCTGCTGCCAGTCCATGTAGGTGCCAGTATTATTTTCTGCCAGGTATAGATTTAAGACATTAGTATTTTCACATATAGCCTTAAATTTCAATTGAAAATTTTCTGCTTCATTATACCCTCTGATTTTTCTCTTTCTCCCCAAAAGCACAATTCAAGTCTGGGAGAATATACTTAATTAAACTTTTGAACCAGCAGTGCTTATGCAGTATTGAAATGAAGTGAAATAGATTCTTGTGTTGTGGAAGAGATTTGTTTACGTGGGTGAAATTTTACATCTGGCTTTGTGCTTAATCTGAAACTGAACATCCTGAACTCCCTCAAAATGCCCAGTGCTGATGGGTGTCTGTTGAGATTTTCAGACATGTCCAACACTCGTGGTTGCACCTTATTTTCTCTAATATCTGTCTCCTCAACAGCATCTGGGCCATCCTACTGGATCGTTCCCAAACTCGACTTCAGATAGTCCTGATCCCTCCTGCATTATTCATCCCCACAGAAGATGATGCAATGGAAAGACAGAAACTTATCGATGCAGTGCCAGATTCTGTTACACCTTTCATTATTTATGAAGAAACAACAGACATCTGGATAAATGTAAGAATTTGGATTTCAGCCCTCTCTGACTGTTGCTTGTTGAAGACTGTGTTTGTAGCACTTGAGCAATGTTGGTGTTACTCTGCTGCCTGGGAGAATATTCCCATTGTGCAAGTTCTGTGCATATTCTGTGCTTCCTGCTGTGAAGGAATGTTCACAGCATGTAGAGGAGGGAGAAATTTGGGATATGAATGCAGAGCTGCTTTGACCAGGCAGAGCTAGGAGCAGAGCCCAGGGCAGCCTCTTGCCCCCAGTGGTACCTGCTGACACCCTCCAGCTTCTTGGTGCAGTTGGTCACCAGCAGCAGTGCCAGCAGATGAAATATTCTTCAGCCAACAAAGATGTATCGAGGTGATACTGGGTGAACATGTCCTGAGAGTCTGCTGAGAGTCACTGAAACCCTCCTTAACTAGATGTGGTCTGGTGAAATAGATTGGTGTGTCATGTTCTCCAAGGTGTGCCCCAGGGCCCATGCTGTAACACCAGACAGCACAGTGCTGGCTGTCCAAATGAGTGCTGTTCACACTGCTGCAGATAAAGATCCATGTCTCTAAAATGACATCCCCTTGGAGGTCTGCCAGGCTGCAGGAAGGCCTGGGAACATCAGTCACTGACAGGTAGTTGGATCTTTCAGCAGAGGACATTTGCACAAAGCCTTCCAGTGAATGAGCTCTATACATTTTCTTCTTAGTGTTCATGTGTATGGTTTCAGGATGGTGCAGTAAGTTGTCCTTTCTTTGTTATTTTTACTGGCTGGAGTGTTTTTTGACGGGCAGCTCATACTGTACAGATAAATACTCCTGAGTCTCTCAAAAGATTGTCCCTGGAAGCAAGAGTTGGCATCTTCCTGAATGGGAAGATGATGTCAGCTCATCTTTCTTTCAATAACACTTCACTTGTGGGCCTCCAGACAGCACTGGACAGAGAGAGGCCACTGAAGGTGATCCTGCTCTAGCAATGAGGTTGGACTAGATGATCTTCAGAGTTTCCTTCCAACCCAAAACCACTCTGTGAAATCTGACTTCTCCGGGTGGCTGTCGTATGCAGTCTGCACAGCTGGACCAACTTCTGTGTCTAAGCTCAAAAGGCTGGTGCAGAAAAACTTAGTTTTGTGGGCCAGAATTTTTAGTTAGAGCAGCAAAAAGCCTGGAGCTGTGCAGCATATGTGGCTACTGTCTGCAGACACCTCCTGGCTTGTGGACACAACTGGTTCTCCCAGTAAGGGACAATGCTGCAGGCTGCTAGGGTGAACTGTGTTGTCTGTGTTGAGCAGGAAGAGGAACTTCTGATGTGTGACTTCAGTGTCAAAGTCCTGCTGATAACAGTGCTGCACTGCTGTGTCTCTAGATCCATGATATCTTCTATGTTTTCCCTCAAACCCATGAAGATGAGATAGAGTTCATTTTTGCCTCCGAGTGTAAAACAGGATTCCGACACCTGTACAAAATCATCTCTGTTTTGAAGGAGAGCAAGTATAAGAGGTCGTGTGGAGGCCTCCCTGCTCCAAGTAAGTGAAATTATTTTATTGCTGTAATTTGCCATTGGCTGCTGACTAGTGAGGAAATAAATGCCTTGCTGGGTGACACAGGTCATTGTCCCCAAAAGCACTTCTCTGTACAGTCGTTCCTCTTGAGCTTTTTATTGAGGTTATTCTCTATTCAGCATGCTGTAGTTTTAACCCTGGTTCTTCCTTACAGACCAGAGGGAAAAGTTAAAAAAAAAATCAGAGGGGAAACAAGCTTCCTGGGATGGTGTGAAATGCTCTTATTTGGCTTTTCCTTGTCAGTGTTGGGACTGGTGGTGTGCTCACTTCACCAGAGGTGAATCATTACAGAGGTCAATCATCACACCTACCTCTGCACAGGGACCCGTGTATCCAGTAGATGCACATTGGTTCAAAACAAACAAACTCAGCCTTTGCAAGTGGGTGGTGGCAGAAAGGCTGACAAAGAGCACTGTTTAAACATGCCACAAAAGGTCCATAGAGGACCTCTCTGTCTCAGTGGGCCTATGTTAGTCCCTTTAACATGAACATGTTTGCTTGGCAGCACAACCTGTGATATGACAACTGTTCAGATAATTCCTCTCTGCTGTCAACAACAGTCAAACTAGTAGAACATGCATCTGTTGTTTTTCGTGGTGTTATTTCGTTTGGTTTGAGGTTTTTTTCCAGATAGCGTTATGTCCTGGGTTGATTAAATCTCTCTGAATGCATCCATGATCCAACTTTTTTTCTTCACTAGATCTCCCTCAATCTAAAGGAAATTCAACCATCTTATAAAACCAGAATTGTTCTCCACCCTGTTTCAAAATTCCCCATTTTTGACACCTGAGATTCCTTCGCAAACCCATTTTTCAGGATAAAACCTCTATTTCTGTGCCAGTGACAAAATGGTTTAAAAAACCAAAAAAACCAAAAAGCTCAAGCAAGGCCTCAGGTTGAATCCTGTGAATCTTTAGCATATATTTCACAGGATATTAAATAACCACTAGTGCTAACACTTGTCTGGGGAGATGGCAGAGGTGTGGGTCTTCTGCAATGGCAGGTTGGTCTTGGGTTTAGTCTAGTAAAAAAGCTTGGAAGGAAGAAGTATTACTGTGACCCATGTGTTTTGTAAAATGTAAAAGTGTAAAATCTCTGTGTCTATGTTGGTTAATTGCAGGTGACTTCAAGTGCCCCATCAAAGAGGAGACAGCAATTACCAGTGGGGAATGGGAAGTGCTTGGCAGGCATGGATCCAATGTAAGTCTTTCCCCTTGATGCATGGATATCCTGCTTCCTGCTGGGGCAGCTTATATCATGTGTGATTTAGGAAAGGTTCTGAAGAGTGGAGATGTGACAAAGAATGGGGAACAGAGTTTTTTAGCATGGCAAACAGTAGGGAAGACTAAGAAGGGGCTGTAGTGATAGGATGAGGGGCAGTGGTGTTAAAAGTAGAGCAGAGTAGACTTAGATTGGGCATTAGGAAGAAGTTCTTTACAATGAGGGTGGTGAAGCACTGGAACAGGTTTCCCAGGGAGGTGGTGGAGGCTCCATCCCTGGAAACATTCAAGGTCAGGCTGGACAAGGCTCTGAGCAACCTGATCTGGTTAAAAAGGCCCCTGCTCACTGCAAGGGGGCTGGACTAGATGTCCTCTAAAGGTCCCTTCCAACCCCACACAGTCTATTATTCTGTGGTTCTGTAAGAGTAAAGGACCTGCATGAGAGAGCTGAGCAACAAAGGTGTGAAGTGCAAATCATAGCTGAGAGAATTGTGAACAGTAAGAACAGGCATTTGGCTTATTCCTTGCAGACTGTTGGGCTGTAACTCAGCTTTGTGGAAGTGGGGCAGGAGGGACGGGGGGAGCATTGGACGTGATAGAAGTGGGTGTTGTTTTGGCAAGAAACAGGATTGAGGGATGTGTTGTTTGTTTTGGTTTTGGCAGATCTATGTTGACGAAGGCAAAAAACTGGTATATTTTCAAGGCACAAAAGACTCACCTTTAGAGCATCACTTGTATGTTGTGAGCTACGAGGCTCCTGGGGAGGTGAAGCGGCTGACGGAGCGCGGTTACTCTCACGCCTGCTGTGTCAGCAAGGTACCTGTCAGCCTCTGAGGCCTGTGGCTTATCACCAGTCCTGTCCATCAATCAGCAGACAAGGCTGTGTTTGAATATTTTTTTTAAAAAGTTTATTTTACACTGTGTTTTATACTCATGGGTGGTGTGAGTGCATAAACCCACCCTGGAAAGCAGATTTGACCTCTCAGTTCTGTTGCTTCTCAGCTCACTTCAAGCAAAAGGAGCCAGGATGAGTTATTTGAAGCTGTTTGAGCCTGGCTCTTTTTCTCTGAAGTGGACTATAGAGCAATCACCAGAGGAGATGAACTTGTGGCAGCACTGGGTGGGGTTCCAGACATTTGGGGCAGTAACCTGTTCAGCTGGGAATGCTTTATATTGATTCTGCAGGTGTATTTTTGCCTTTAGAGTGTCAATACCTGAGCCTTGCTAAGGACTGTAGCTTCACAGAGTCTATCTGCTCTTAGCAAAAGAGCTCAGACTTCCTGGTTTAGCTTGATCCATAATCATCTTCTGAAAGATGTAAATGCAGAAGGAAATTATTGGTTTTGCTTGTGCTTCCACACTGAGGAGTTGAAGGAAAAGTTTTTTCTCCCTAGGATTGTGACATGTTCATCAGCAAATACAGTAATCAGAAGAACCCACACTGTGTGTCACTGTACAGGCTGACAGGACCTGAAGATGATGCAGCTCACAGGACAAAGGAATTCTGGGCTACCATTTTAGATTCAGCAGGTAATGGCATAAATGAGGAACTGGAGGACAGGCAGGATCACAGAATGAAAGATATCCCAGAATGTGCTTGCTAGAGATTTGCTGTTGTGGGTGACTAGACTTTTCTTTAAAGCTCATGTTTGTGTGAGGAGCTCTTGGAAGTACAGGAGTGACATTTTCAACTCAGCAACAAATGGGTATAAACTGGCCATGAAGGAATTTAGAGGGGAAATTACTAAGTTTCTACTGCCAGAGCCAGTAGGAAGTGCAGAAAGCTAGTTGTAGCATTGGAGGACGGGTTTAAGTGCTCTCATTTACTCTCTGCTAAGTGCCTGCTAATGGTCATGCTTCTGGGGAGGGGCATGGGCTTCTTCAATAGTTGTGTGCTGCTACCTGCTCTTGTCTTTGTGAGACAGCTCTCAGGCTTTCGTTTTTCCATCATGTGTCTGTTCCCATTCATCTCTCCTTCCCTAAGGCATAGTCCATAACTTGTGCTTTCCATGTGCTGATGTAGTGAGTCCTAAGTGGAGTTAGGAAGGGACAGGATACCTGTAATGGCTATATCAGAGGAGAAGAGTTACTGCTCTTCC